GAAAGGCAAGTCAAAGTGACAAAAGAAAAATCAGAAGAGCTAACTAAAAACAATGAAACAAACAGAAAACCACCCAAATTAATATACTCGGAAATAAAATCAATAGATTGAAACTGAAGCTTCAGATAAGATAAAAACAGGGCTGAGGGACGAAACCACAGCGCTCGAGTGCCAGCTGTGTGCAGGAGCCTCAGATGTAATCCCTGGGACAGCATGATCTCCAGGGAGCGATCCCTAAGCACTGAACCAGATGCAAGCCCCAGCACCACTAGATGTGGCATGGAAATTAAAAAAAAAGAAGAAGAAAAAAGAACAAATATGAAGGATTCATTAAGTGAGATACAGAGAAAGTTATGGAAACAGACAAGACTTCATGGTGAAACAAATCAGTGAGCTCAAAGATAATAATGTACAAATGACTTGGTTGAAAAAGAAAAATATCCCAAAAACAGAAGAGGAAGAGAAGGAACACCACAAGAACTCGAAGAATAATGGATATCTGTAAGGGGAAAAGTGAGAGAGGGAACAAAGAGCTCCTTAAAGATATAACAGCAAAAATATAATAGTTCCTAAAGCTAACAATATCTGCTTTCTAAATACAAAGAAACTACAAGAACAAAGAGTGAAACATCAAGAACTCAAGACAAAGAATTATGAAAGTAGCTGGGGGAGGAGAAAACAAAAAATTCCTAAAAGTACCATTTTTCACTACATAACCACTGCCACTGCATAACTGCTGCACCTGGTTTTGTTGGTTTGCTTACATAATGGTCCCACCCTACTTATTGGCAAGAAGATAATGTTATAAAATCTGACAATTGTGCAGTGAAATATGCTTTTTCATCAAACTTTTCAGCCAAAACTACAAACCAGAGGAGAATGTAATGAGATAGTAAAAACAATTAATGATAAAAACTGCCAGCAAGATGATCCTGCCTACCACTGGAGCAACAGTACAGCAGGCCTTGCACACAGCTGAGATGGATTCAATCCCCAGTACCCTATATGGTCCTCCCTCCTCCTTCACTCTAAGTGTGACCCAAGCACAGAGTTAGGAGTAAGCCCTGAGCACCACTGGGTGTAGTCGTGTCCCCACCCCCACCCCCGCAAAAAAAATAAATGCTGTCTACAAGACTTAGATTATGAAGACGAAATGAAGGCCTTCACAGACATATGCTGAACAAATTTGCTAACTCTGGACCACCCCTACAAGAAATGTTGAAAGCTCTTGTATCTAAGCATTTTTAAAAGTCCACAAAAAAATTGATGAACCAGAAAATTAAACACAGAAACATCAGGAAGCCTCATATACGAATAATTACCCTGAATGTAAATCAGAGGTACCCAACCCCCTTTTCAGAACAACAACAATCTGAGTCAGTTCTCCTGTGAAAAATTTACCTGCTCTAAGCAAACAGAAAGGGTTCCCCAAATGCACCTGAGCTACTTATTGCTACCCAGTATGGCTCTGGGGTCTCCTAGGAGAGGCATCCCCCACTTTGGAAAACCAGTATAGAAACCCCAGATTTGCAAGGTGTCAATATTCCAGAGATGTGCTAAATGACAATGCTATAGTTACCACTGCTGCATTAACTCTCAAGAAGATTCAAGAGGGGCTGCTGATAATAGCTCAGTAATAGAACACAGGTCTTGTAGCAAAAGACAAAGAATTCACTCCATGTCACCAATCCACACTGCTACGTGCGAGGGCTAAAATCCAGGGTGCGAGCACTGCAACCAAGTGGATAACCCCCACCCCACCCCAGACACACTGCTATGATGAAAACAGCAATGGGAACATCAAAATGGAACTTGATTTGAGAGTTGTATCTGACCAATACTCATCCAAAGTAAATAAAATTTAAGGAGCTGGAGAGACCACTCAATAAGCAGAACACATGCTTTGCACAGGGAAGGTCAGGTTTACCCCAGCAATACACAGTCCCCTGTGCACCACCAGGAATGACCCCAACAGAGCCGAAGCTCCCAAGCATTGCTGGGCATGCAACAACCCCGCGGGGAAAAAAAAAAGGGCAACAAAAGGTTTTTAAATAATTCTTAACTTTTTCAACGATCTATGAGAAATTTAAGAAAAAAAAATTTTTTTTAATGGGACCTGGAGGTAAAGCACTTGACTTACATATAGCCAATGTAGGTTCAATCCCCTATGGTAATCCCATATGGCCCCCAAATCTGCCAGGAGTGATCCCTGAGCACAAAGTCAGGAGTAAGGCCTGAGCACCGCTGGTGTGCATCCCGCCTCTCCCCCACAAGAAAGTTTCAGGGACTTAAAAGACAAAAGGGAAACTATGGGGGCTAGAGCGGTAGCACAGTGGGTAAGGCGTTTGCCTTGAACACAGTCGACCCGGGTTCAATTTCCAGCATCCCATATGGTCCCCCGAGCACCACCAGGAGTAATTCCTGAGTGCATGAGCCAGGAGTGATCCCAGTGCAAAGCTGGGTATGATCCAAAAAGCAAAAAACAAAACAAAACAAAAAAATAGAAAGAAAAAACTAAGAAAATTGTTCCATATGGAGCAATAGCATAGCAGGTAGGGCGCTTGCTTTGCAAGCAACCAACACGGGTTCGATTCCTGCACCCCTCTCGGAGAGCCCGGCAAGCTACCAAGAGTATCCCGCCAGAATGGCAGAGCCTGGCAAACTCCCCGTGGCATATTCTATATGCCAAAAACAGTAACAACAAGTCTCACAATGGAGTCATTACTGGTACCCACTCGAGCAAATCAATGAACAATGGGAAGACAGTGCTACAGTGCATCAATAGACTATGGAGGCAAAACACTTCTATGGAAACAAAACAATTAAATGTAGCATATAACTCTGGATTAGAACCTGATCTAGAAAAGGGGAATTAATAGGAATGATAAATCAATGTTAACTTCTTGGGCTATAAAACATGCTAACATTTGGGAAGTAAAGCTGAGTTCTTTTTGTTCTTTGTGTTAAGGTGACATTCAGTAGTGCTTGAGGGATCACATGGTGCCATGGATCAAACCCAGGGCTCTGCATGCAAAGCCTACACTCCAGACCTCTAAGTTCTCTCCTCAGACCCAGGAAATCAAGGATAAAACTTGGGCTGGATGCAAGCAATGAAAACAACTTATCACTTTACTATCAGTCAAATCCTATGTAGGAATTTCTACAAACTATTTTTGTAAGTGTGAAATACTTTTAAGTGTAAAATCACTTCAAAAATAAATTAATGCAATGCTAAGGAAAAGTCCAGCAGCATGGGAAGAGAGAGAGAGAACCCACGTTAATCTTTAAAAAAAAAAAAAACTATTCATTAAAGAATAGAGACCCAAGACTTGATAGAAACATCTTTAAGGTGCTTGCCTTCCTTACACATGGCCAACCCAGGTTTGATCCTCAGCACCGCACATGGTTCCTTCAACACCACCAGAAATGGTCCCTGAGCACACAACCAACAGTAAGCCAGGGATAGCCCAAAATAACCCCCCCAACACACACAAGAAAAAAGTATTCAGTAAACATTTGGGAACTACTTAAAATCACTACCTCTCAAAAATATGCAAAATGACAATGAGATATCATTACACACAAGTACGGCTAAAATAAAAAAAGGTAACAACCAATGTTATAAGTAGGAAAAGCAACCTGAATTACTAAAATTCCAGCACTATTAGAAGAATAACCACCTTGAAACATCATGTGATAGAATTTACTAAAGCTATTTAATTTGCCACTCCTCCCAGCAAACTAAGTTCACTCTATTCCATCTCTAGGCTGGTCCCTGCTTTAGCTAAAAGAATTAAGTGAAAGTGTGATATTGACTGTCACGGTTTCACTCACTTGGAATCTAAACACACCATGCTATAGAGAAGAATGAGATTGAGACCACTCAGAGGGAAAGAACGGGGGGGGGGGGAGGAGAAGCAGAAGCTGCCTCTGATTTCCAGCCAACCCTGACTAAGCCCCAGACCTGACTGACACAGACCAACTGACTGTGGCCAAAGGAGAAGCCCAAGAGACACCAGCAGACTCACCCAGTAAACCTAAAGGAATAAGGAGACTTACTAAACTGCTAATGTTTTGAACCAGGAAGTTTTAAAGTAATTTGCTACACAAAAAAGAACTACAATACTGAACAGAATTATCCTGCTTTTGTTTTTGTTGTTTGATTTTTAAGCATTTCCTACATTTCTACTAAACAACAATAAATACTTTTTAAAGAACGCAGTCGGTCTCTGTCAAATTGCGAAAAGGCAAATTGCGTTGTAAAAGCCACCAAGGACCATTCCCAGAAGCACTCACCAAGTAGGACAAATGCAACCCTGGGGCAGCGTAACAGCACAGTTATCTGCCAATATCCATTCCCTCCTTTAAGGATAACAAAAACTGAATATAGTGGCCATCAAAATACAGACAATATGCCTTTACTGCAAATAAACTAAATAAAGTCTTGCAACTACATCTGGACAGTGATATATGAGCAGAAAAATATGGTGTGGCAGCTTGCAAGGAAAAGTCCTCGAGAGACCGGAGCCCAAAGTAGTCTGGTCCTTTGAGCCTTTGGAGAACCAGCTGCCAGAAATTACAACACACAGAACCCTAAGGGTAAAGGCTACACCAGTGGGACTGCCAAGCAGTGAGAAGCCTGAAGACTTCATAAAACAATCAACAGGCTAGTCTAGAATAGCAAAATTCACACTTTTACATCAGGGGAAGGGAAAAAAAAAAGAAAGAAATCTTCTGGGGACAGGAGATATGGCAAAGGGCTGGAGCATTCACTCTTGTATTTGAGCCTGGCACTACATGCCCCCTCTCACTGGGCAGGGTCCTGAAGGTCCCCAGGCACTGAAGGGTGTGGCACTGGTGGCCCCAGTACTACAGGGCCCAAACAGCACCACATCCTCAGCCCATGCACTGTCACATCTGTGCAGCTGAACCAAGTATTGCCAGCAGTGGTGGCCAGACTCTGGAGCACTGCTGAGGTGCAAAATTAAAAGGCTAAAAGACAGAGCCAACTAAGCAGACCATGCTCTCTGCCCCATGAGGTCGATGTGCAACAGCTATAAACAGCAAGCAGCCTCCTCATTAGTGGACGCATTCTGTGGTTTATATAAGCTGTTCTAAAAGACCCTGTAGACAGTCCTTTTACAGTGGATGCTTATATATGCTCTCATGCTGGCTCCAATTTCAGGCTCTAAATAGGTAAGCAGGATGCCTTTGAAAAGTACCAGGGCATAGTGGTCAGCGTTCACAATGACCAAGTCAAGCCATCATGTCCATCCTCATCCACACCAAACTGCAGAATAAGGTGCATGTGATTAAGGCTCTGCTCCAGACAAAGTTCAAGTTTCCTGGCTGCCAGAAGATCAACATCTTCAAGAAGTGGGGCATAATCTGAATTTAATGCACAGGTGTCTGAAAATATGGTGGCTGAAAAGCAGCTCATCTCGGTTGGCTATGGGGGCAAATGTATCCCTAATGCTGAGCCTCAGGAGAAATAGTGGGCACTGCACTCCTCATTGTCTCAGAGCTGCCCCCTGCCAAGTCCCTGTCCCCACCCTAGCCCTCATCACCCCATTCCACTCCATCACAATAAACCCCACTTACCAAAAACAAAATGCAGTAACTCTGTCTGGGGCCAGAGCAACAGGATAGCACATAGGGCACTTGCCTTGCATATGGCCAACCCAGGTTCAAATCCCGACACCCCATACAGTCAAGCTGAGTACCACCATGAGTGAACCCTGAGTGCAAAGCCAGAAGTAAGCCCTAAACACCACTGGGTGTGGTCCGAAAACAAAACAATAACAATCCTCTGTTAAGCAAGGCTATCTGAGATTCTCTGACTCTTTCGATTTAACTTAATCCCATCTCTGACAATGGCAGTCCCAGGATAGGTTAGGAAATACAGGATATGAATGGAGAGATAACACAGAAACTAGGGCATGGTCTTCAATACATGAAGCAGACCCTGGTTTAATCCCCAGACTGCAAAGGTTCTCTAAGCATTACTGAGGGGAGCCCAAAACCAAAGAATAAAATAAAGAGGATAGAGAAGCAGGAGAGACAGTACAAGGGTTAATGCTTGAACATGGCCAACTCCAGCTTAAGCTCAAGCACCAAGGGTGGACCCCTAAGCATTGCCAGGAATAACCACTGAGAACCACCACATGTGGCCCAAATACCTCCCGCTGGCAACCAAAAAAAAAAAAAAGTTAGGGGTATCAAAATGTCCGATTCCTCCTCCCCTCTCAGAGAGCCCGGCAAGCTAACGAGAGTATTTTGCCCGCACAGCAAAACCTGGCAAGCTACCCGTGACGTATTCAATATGCCAAAACACAGTAACAACACAGTCTCACACTGGAGACATTACTGGGCCCTCTCAAAAAAAAATCGATGAACAACGGGAGGACAGTGACAGTGATCAAAATGCATTTCCTAAAGACAACAAAGATGGTATTTTCAATAAACGCTGCTGCAACAACTGAACACCCTATATACCAAAAAGTAAAATAATAACCTAGATACAGAATGTACACCCTTACAAAAATTACATCAAAGTGAATCACAGGGTCAGGAATAAGCTCACATAGTTTGGCAGAGGCGTACCTGCCTTGCGTATGTGGATATCCAAGGCCCTGTACACATCTAGATAACTTAGATGAGCTTAGGGTTGATGATGACCATCTAGATATGACACCAAAGGCATGAAAAGAAATAGGACATAAACTGAATTTCATTAAAATTAAAAACTTTCTGTTCCACAAAGGTAATGTGAAAAGAAATGAGAAAACAAGCTACAGACTAGGAGAAAATACCTCCGCAGAAGACAACTGATAAAAACTATTATCCAAAGTTACTTCTGGTGGGACTCAGGGGAACCATATGGGACGCGAGGGATCAAACCCAGGTTGGCCATGTGCAAGGCAAAACTCTGTACCTGCAGTACTATCTCTCATACCACATAATTTTAAAAAGAATAAAAACTTTTCAGACACCTCACAAAAGAATATACACAAGACATCTCTGGTTCACTGCAGCTAGAAAAGCAATGTGAAATAGCCACCTTATAACTTTTTTTTTTTAATTTTTCCTTTTTGGGTCACACCCAGTGATGCTCAGAGGTTACTCCTGGCTCTGCACTCAGGAATCACTCCTGGCAGTGCTCAGGGGACCATATAGGATGCTGGAAATTGAACCTGGGTTGGCTGTGTTCAAGGCAAATGCCCTACCTGCTGTGTTATCACTCCAGCCTACCTTATAACTTTCTTTACTAAATATTCTTTTACCATACAGTCCAGCAACTCTGCTACTGATTTTAACCCAAAGAAGTTGAAAACTTACATGGCACCAAAACCTTGTATGGAGGAACAGCACAGTGGCTCAGGGCCTCTGCTTTGCAAGCACATGTTCAGGTGTCTGCACTCTCAGTAGCCCGCATGAGAATTTGCCTCCCAGCAACTCTCGTCACTGGCCACTCTGCAGTCAGGTAGCACCACACAGAGGGGGGTGTGACTCCTGGTGGCACCATAATGAAGAAGAAGCATGACTCCTGGGAAGCACTCAGCTGTGCCCAGCAGCAACTCAGTAACAAGTCGGCCTCAGCTAAGAGTATGAGCCCAGGTGAGCATGTCCATAAGTCCCACAAGTAAGGAGCGCAAACCTTAGCAGCCAACTGCATGAGCACTACAACCTGGCATGGGAGCCCAGTGAGCACCAAAGCCAGGAATGGGTGCGACCCGTTATCATAGGAGTAACAATGAACGGAAAGGGGGAGGGAATTAAAAAATGAAATTTTGAATGTAATAATAATAAACCTGGGGTCAAAAAGATAGTAAAACAGGTTACCTTGCACACAGACGACCCCGGTTCGATCCCTGGCACCACATATGATCTCTTGAGATCACCAGGAAAGATCCCTGGACACAGAACCAGGGGTAAGCCCTGAGCACAACTGGATATGACCCAAAAACCAAAATAATAAAAATAATAAATCTGTATATGAATGTTCATGGCAGTTATATCCTTCACTCAAGAAGAAACAAAGGTACATCCAAATCATGGAAATATTGCCGCTAAAAAGAAATGCACTCTTGAAACCATGAACTAATTAAGTGCATGTCACTAAGTGAAACAGGCCAATCCCGTGCAGTTCCAATTATACAATATTCTTAAATAAACAGAACTACTGAGACACTGAAAAAAAAAAAAAGATTATTTGGAGGTGAGGGTTTAGGTATAGCACAGAGAATTTTTAGGGTAGTGAAAATATTCCCAATGACATTATGACAGATAAATGATGTTATATATTTGCCCAAAACTATAAAATGTAAAACACAAAGAGTGAATGATTCCTAATGCAAGGCACAGTCTCTGGGTGATAATGAATGATGCTCCAATGTTTGCTCATGAATGACAGGTGTACCACACTGGCAAGGAGTGATGATGTGTCAATACAGAGGGTATAGCTGTGTGAGGACAGGGAGTATATGGGAAATTTCCACCCTTTGCCTTTAATTCTGCTCTTACATAAAGCAGGGGCCACACATGTGTCTCAATTTCTGGGTTCACTGTGCTCAGTCCTGGGTTCAATCCCTATGGATTGGTCTCTAGTTATACTCCCTTTGGCCTTTGTTGCTACCTTGCTGTGTATCTTTAAGACCCACATATTAGAAGACTGAAAGTGTGGAACAATGGGGTCCTTGTGGGAGGGAGGGAGGTACACTGGTGATGGGTGTGGTATTGGAAGAATTATGTGCATGGGAAACTGTATTATAATCATAAAAACCCCTATTAATTTTTTTTTAAGTTTTGAAAAATGAGATTATTTTGGGAGGTCGTAAATGGGGAGGGAAGACTCCCAACGTGTGCTCAGAAGGTCTGGGGCCAAGTGCTGTCAGACGCTGCTGCAGTGCCTGGGACTGCAAAGGCCACCCTAACAGTTCAGGCCTCCAGGACTGCCTAGCAGTGCTGCCTAGCAATGCTCAGGGAACTATACAGTGCTGGGTTCAACCCAGGCTCAGTCACATGCTAGGTGAGTACCTTAAGCTCTGTAATGTCTCTCTAGTCCCTCAAAAGATTCTTCAGATGCTGTCTGTACTAAATGTTCCATCTACCCTTTGGAGAACTGCCCTCTATCTATTGTGGGTGCTTCCAGAGGTAAGCAAGCCCAGTTGGATTTGCTTTTGTGCAGAAATCTGAGTCACCGCAGAGGCAGCAGCAGAGAAGAAACACCCAGAAGTTTAGCACACATGGCTGAGCTGCGAATCGACCGACCCACTACTTCCAACTCTGTCCTGGCTCCACTCCTCCCTGAGGCCCAGCCGTGGAGCTTGTTCCTCTCACCTCCCAGACAGAATTTGTACTGCTTATGAAGAACCCTACTTGGCACAGTGAGGTAACAGAAGATTAATCTGCAAAAACACTGTTTGCAAACACAACTGCCAAAATTCACCAGAGGAAATCACAACATACAAATTTGACTGTTTGTAAAGTAAACCTCAATAAAACTGGGGTGGAGAGACAGGATTATCAAATATGAAAGCATAAACCACACCTTTAGATTGCACAATAAAATGGTTCAGAAATTATTTTCTAATACATTAATTTACTAGGCTTCATGACTAAAAACCGGTATAGGATAATAGTCCAGAGAGATCAGCCAGCTGGATTTGAGATCTGACACTGTGTCCCCAAGCTCCTACCAGGAGAGATCCCTAAGCACAGACCCAGGAGTAAGCCCTCAACACCACCTGGTGTGGCCCCAAAAAAACAAAAGAATAGTAAAAATCAAAGTATAAGGCCACAGAAATAGTACATGGGTTAAGGCACTCTCCTTGCACTGAGAATGACCAAAGTTTAATCCCTGACACCAGGAGCTACTCCCAAGGAAAATCAGGTATGGCCAAGTATGGTGCAAACACTTTCCTCACCATCCCCCACTCCACAAAAAATAATAATAATAATAAGCCATAATGCCCAAAGGAACAGAGGAGGAAGGGAACGTACCTGTCCTAAAAGCATCAGGTCACAAAATCGATTCCCAGTGTCCCACATAGTGATCTGGTCTCAACCTGCCCGTACTACAAGCAATTCCGGACCTCACTGAGACCTGTTATGCAGGAGCAACTCAAACTAAACAG